TTATCAATCATCTTATCATAGTCAATTGTTATTTTATGACTACACTATAACATTATTAAAATATATATTACATTATCAAATTAATATTAATTATATAGTTCACTCAAATAATGATTAATATAATAACATTTCTTAAAGAAGCATATTACGTCTATATTTTTAAAATTATATTGGGAGATCTTTGAATGTTTTTGGTAAACTATTATAAAGCTAAAAGTTCAGTTAATGATTCAAAAATTAATAATTTCATTACGTCATATCACAAACAATCAATTCTATTGTGACGTAATATATGCTGAAAAGTCTCTCGTAACTTAATTATACTGTACGGCATTCATCAGATAGTAGAAACATTTGTTGCGTGCGAAACTAGAATTCCATTTTGCACTTCGCGTTAGCATCAAAGCTCTCGAACCGAGCCGACGATAAATCATTCGTTAACGTGTACCGTCCCAATCTAGAAAATTTCTGTATCGAAGGAACAAGGTGAAATTCAAAAAGGCTTAAAAGTGTGTTGAATAAGTTTTTATTAATATATTATTTATTGACGCATTAAACCAATCAAATACACAATGTTAAACAGCAATGCGATTTAGAAATTGTACCTAAAAGTCCCGAATGGTTTTAATATTGCGGCGTGTATATTTTCCCTTTTTTTGTTCTGTCTATTGGATCGGTTCTTTGACTAGGTTCTATATAAGCAGAGTGGCGCAGTGGAAGCGTGCTGGGCCCATAACCCAGAGGTCCGTGGATCGAAACCACGCTCTGCTATATTCATTTTATTACTCTACTGAATGTTCTATAAAATTGTGTCTTGCTCTTTGACTAGGTGCTGTATAAGCAGAGTGGCGCAGTGGAAGCGTGCTGGGCCCATAACCCAGAGGTCCGTGGATCGAAACCACGCTCTGCTATATTCATTTTATTACTGTACTGAAAAGTTCAATAAAATTGTGGCTTGATCTTTGACTAGGTGCTGTATAAGCAGAGTGGCGCAGTGGAAGCGTGCTGGGCCCATAACCCAGAGGTCCGGGGATCGAAACCACGCTCTGCTATATTCATTTTATTACTGTACTGAAAAGTTCAATAAAATTGTGGCTTGCTCTTTGACTAGGTGCTGTATAAGCAGAGTGGCGCAGTGGAAGCGTGCTGGGCCCATAACCCAGAGGTCCGTGGATCGAAACCACGCTCTGCTATATTCATTTTATTACTGTACTGAAAAGTTCAATAAAATTGTGGCTTGATCTTTGACTAGGTGCTGTATAAGCAGAGTGGCGCAGTGGAAGCGTGCTGGGCCCATAACCCAGAGGTCCGGGGATCGAAACCACGCTCTGCTATATTCATTTTATTACTGTACTGAAAAGTTCAATTAAATTGTGTCTTGCTCTTTGACTAGGTGCTGTATAAGCAGAGTGGCGCAGTGAAATCGTGCTGGGCCTATAACCCAGAGGTCCGTGGATCGAAACCACGCTCTGCTATATTAATTTTATTACTGTACTGAAAAGTTACATAAAATCGTGTCTTGCTCTTTGGCTAGGTTCTATGTAAGCAGAGTGGCGCAGTGGAAGCGTGCTGGGCCCATAACCCAGAGGTCCGTGGATCGAAACCACGCTCTGCTATGATTTTTGTAATTTTATTTATTTAAACAATATAAAAAAATCAATGTTCAGCCATATGGTATTAATTCGGATTCATAAATAAGGTTTTACTAAAACGATAGTTGCATTAACTGACAATAAAACCTGATTACCCTGATTTTATTTTGTTTAACCAATCTTTCTTTGCACGAATGTGTTTCCATTAACAAATTGACGCCTACACAAATAAAAGATTGCAAATTTCTCTTACAATAGAACACAAAGGTACTGAATGAACGGATGCATCTACAATTGTAATTCCGAAGAGTTTTGAATGCAGTCCAATACTATTTCGGTCGTCGAACAGTGATCTTTAATTCTTGTTGCGTTTTGTTCTAAGATTGCACCGCATAGTATACGATGGATAGATGAGAGGTATTGATAAAATGGCTGTAGACGTTGAATAGCTGTCTAAAATGGAGGCTGCTATTGGATTTTGAAACTTATCAATATTGAAATAGGGCTATTTTTTAAACTATGGCTGTACCAATCTCTGCTGAAATTATGGTGCTGACAAAATGCCTGAACAATTTAAACGTTGCACCCCGATAAAGTAACTAATATGATACGGTTTACTCGTGTATTGGTTTTGGAGACACAAATAAAAAAATTACATTCTGATATACCTTATAAGGAACTGCTTATTACCTTTACAAGTGTGGGTATTCGTTTATAAGCCTTGAATTATTTTATGTCTCATTATAAAAATATTTTTGCTATGCAAGGAAAGTAAAAAATAAATTATGTCATAGAAAACTTTTTCATAATATTGCTTATATTATTATCAAACTTTTAAATTTAGAACAATTAATACAAAAAAGGAAAATTAGAAAACGGTTTGCACACATTTCATAAGTTGTCAACTGAACAGTCCGTAGACTAAACTATATTTTCTATTCACAGAATCTAAATTGAAGCAGCGCAGATGTGTCGTCTCAATAATGAATGCATTGTCGGTCAGATTGTATTCAAGACTATTTTCACGTACCGCTGTCCACGTCCGTCACTGAATTGCACATACGGAAAATTTAAATTAGAATATACCTTTATGCATTTTCTAGATACAAGTTTTATTTATTACTATTCTCATTTAAATCAGCAGCTGTCTCTGTGTTTAATGCACTTGATATATGGCATATATATCTAAAGGCTCATGCTTTGCAATTACCCGTGCGTTTAGACGGGACAGAGGAGTTTCAGTTCGAGCATAGGCATCCGCTTTGGGGGCTCAGTCCCAAATGCCTATTGCACATCCCCGGCGCAGAAGTCCATAAACGATTTCCTAATCCGTTACACATAATTTGTATTTGAATCTCGATAAAGATAGATTAAAGATGGTTACGGTAGTTGTAATGATTCTCTGCTGCTCTGGCTCTATCCTCAGACTCCTGTTACGTTTTTTTTTCGTTAGGTAAATAGGTGATCGGCCTACTGTGCCAAACAATCATTATCTAATGCTTGCAGATTTGCGCAAGCAAAATTGCTCACTGTACAAGAACTATTAAGAAGACAAATTGAAAGAAACAATGCGCTTTGCAAATACTGTTCTATGTTTAAAATATGCCAAAAGGTGCCATTATAAAATATGCCATTATAATGACATAGATTATGATATTCTTAAGTATATTATAAAGATGAGCTACGACGCTATCATGAAAGACATTTGCCAGTGACAGCGGAACTAGAGTTATTTGATTTATCTCAAGCGAACTATTGAAAACTTCCATTTCATATGGATGTAATCAGGAACAGCACTTCGACGCTGGTTCGAAGTGTATTCATAATGTAAGAAAAGTTTATAATACTTGATATGATCGTCGTATTTACTAGAGTTTTCTCGTTTTAATAGAAAATCACAGATGAAGACAGGTTGAGATTTGCAAAAACGCTGCACATCTTCGTGACGTTCCGTAAAAATATTACCCTCATGTGCTTAAAGAAGTTTCACTTCAAAAATGCTTACGAAAGTTCAAGATACGTAAAAATAATAAGCTATTAGTTTAAAACGGGCGATAAATGCAGTGATTATGAATTCTTCTTAAGCATGAAAATTTTAATCACCATCAACATCATGGTCTACAATAACATACCTTTAGCCTTAATTTTTAAAATAGGTTTAGTAGATTACTTAACTCATAAACTAAACGTCTTTATAATATTAGTTAAGACAAAAATTTCCGCATACTTTCCAACGATATCAATGACATCAAAAGAAGACAAATTTAAAAACTGTGCACAAAAAGTCAGTCAATTACTTAGTCGTTCAGAGAATTGCTGATAGCATGGCTAGACACGAGACGTCGTATCGTTGTTGGGAATTTCGTAAATTATAAAATATTTGGAATAGTCCCGCTGGCCACCAACGATTCTTGGGCCACACAGACTTTTCGATCGCAAAATCAGAAAAATAATAATCTGTAATGTATATGCTACGATTACGCTATGAATTATACGTTGATAATTTTTAAATGTAATCAAATTATCAGTATTTGATTTTTATTTGTTACTGATTAAAACAATTGAATAAAGTGCACCTACTAGGTATTTTATTTTCGATTCGGTGATAGTTACGACTTACTAAGGTATACAATAGAAACACTTTTATATTTGCTTAACAGAAAATAGTTTTAACTGGATTAGAGTGTGTTTATTTGAGTAATTTGATAATAAGTTTTGAAAGGTGTGCGATGACGCGAGGTATTGCGTGCAAGCATGGTTTGACAACGAAAATAACCGTAACTGTGATAATTACACGTTTTAATTAAAGCTGTATTTTCTTTTAATCACTCAACATAATTGAACTAATCATATTAACATATATATTATTTATTGTCGTATTATATTATCTCATAATAGTTTAGAATATTTTTATTTATATCACAATAGATAAGAATACTACAAAATCCTTTACTAAAACAATATACTAAGATTCCGCTTAAGCCATTAAACTAGGTGTTTATCATGGGATTAAAAAAGCTCACCCATTTGTCCGTCTGTATGTCGCGGGTGGTCTCCGGCTCAGACATTTCAATAATGACGTTTCTCAAACCGCTTTTACAGATGAAATGCGAAAAAAACCTAGCCGTACAATGCTTCAAACTATTCTCTGAAATACGGGAAAGACCCTTTTAATAGTCGATGTACTTATTAAAAATACGTCATAAAAATAAAACTATTATTTACATAAAATATATTTATTCTTACGATAAATAAGAGGTATAAACATACCCAAAAACACGCAGTTCGGAATGTAAACCTCTTAGGGCCCAAATGTGCTGTTTGAATGTACTAAAAATGTCGTCAATATAACACTACTGACATCACTTTACATTACATACAATTTCTATAAGTTCTTAAATTTCTAAGCGTACCGTCGCTGATGTTCAACGCCACGTACACCGACGCCGTCCCGTGCGTCTATGGTGTCTCTATGCTGACACCAGAGTGGGAACCGCGGCTTCGGCCGCTGGTCCTGCCGCGGGACAACCAGTGGACTCACCTGGCGGGGCCGCGAGCCGCGAGTCTGCCCGCTACCACCGATCGCGACACCAGAGCCAAGTGAAGAATACTCCTTGGCCCCTCACTACCGTACTAGACACCTCCCGACACGACACCACACCAGGACCAAATCAAGCGTCGCTCCTCAGTCCTCACATCAACACGTCAACGACATCGCTGCGCGCTGCGAGTCGGGCTCTCTGTCTCCTCGCGCGCTGCAGCCCTTATCAAAGGCTAAAGCTAACAAAATACCACCCGAAAGGGGAATACGCCCCGAACTTGCCCAAACACTCGTAAGGGAGGGTACAACAAGAACATGAAGATCCGAAATAAAATTGATATAAATCCGCAATGACTACAATAAAACGATTTTGCAAACACGCAATTTTTTGTATCGTCGTGGTTGTGCTTTATAAAAGAAAATGTTCCCTTCTTGCATACGACAATTGAGGCAAGCTCGCAAATGTCTATTAATGGCATTGACCTTCTAAGACAGCTTCTAACTTGTATTTTAAAAATCCGAAGCTCTGATTTCCTAGATGGACTTCTAATCTTTCGCCTTACAAAATTAAAGTAGCCTTAGGAACCAGCTTTTCTTTCAAATTCTCAGTTAAATGTGATGGAACACAAGAAAAGACAATTATTTGTCTGGTAGCATAATTGAGATATTTTGTTTTGTAAAATATGTGTATCAAATTTGTTAAAGCTTTGAATTTATGAGATATTCCCTTATTAAAATATCAATCAAATTGTATGTAGAAATTATTAATTAACCTCATGAGGTTGTGTATGCGTTTAAAATAGATTAGATTATATTAGATTAGATATTAATTATAGAGATTTATAAGTTTAAAATAGATATGTGACACACATTGTATAAAAACTTTACTTAAATTGTTTTATTTTTGGATATATGGTTCAGACAAGTATCTTCTGCTTTGCTAACTAGCTAAGTAGCTCTGCTCAATAGTCAGGGCTCGGAACACTGAAATGATAATGATAATGAGGAGCGATTTTTGGGATAGTGACTTCGGTGACAATTCAAGACAGGACATTTATTGTGATCTCAATACTAACACGATTGGTTTTTTGTTTGCTTTTGATTCAAATTTCTGATTATTTATTAGTCATCATGGAACCTATGCAGTTGTACATATATTATTTATTTTTGTTAAGTTTTATAACACGTCTTTGTTTCGTGATGGACTTCAAAATCAATCTATATTTTTAACAAATGATTTTATGATAAATTTATGATTATTTTCAAAATGTTTTACTCCATAATCCTCTTTTAGTGCGTTTTAAAGTGAACGTCACAATACAGATTACTAGATTTTTCAGAGTCAAATAGCCCATTACGATTGCATGAAAGTAACCATAACTAAAAATAATAACAATTGCATTCTGTAGAACAAAAAAAAATAACAGCAATCAGTTTTTGCGTGAAATATGTTAACGTTATAAAAACAATCTAAAACCATTTTCAAAACGTCCCATATTACGTAATCCTCTAGAACTTCGGCATTGTAAACATTATTACCGGCCTAATAAAACTGCCGACATATTGTGCGTCAGGTAACAAGGTCGTAATGTAAAGGAGCCGACGAAGGCAGAGGCAATCAACGAGTCTAAATATTTGCTCTCGTTATTGCTCGATATAGGTTTACCCAAGTTAATAATTATCAAAAAAAACGTAAGAAAAGGCGTTTAACTACCTCAAAGTTTATTCCCAGAATATTGTAATTCTGATTTTGGCCTTTGTTTTTCATAAAAAAAAAAGGTTTCAAAAGTATTTTTCCTAAATAATATTCGGTTTTATGAATTTAAAATAAGTTGTTAAAAATTCAGTTTGTGTTTTTACTTCCGTGACACTCCAATAGGGTATAGTCAGAAATATTTCTGCGTAAACAGACATTCATATGTATCTATTGTGATCGGCCGCCAGTATTTACCCGAATAAAGTATTGTTTCACCGGGCATTGAATCAGATTTTAGGTATAGTATATATTTGAAGCATTATACGGAGGCGTTATACGGGATTAAAGTAAGATTCAAATATTGCGTAATCGTACGTATACAAAATATGGGCCCCACACGCTTCCACTGCGCCACTCTGCTTATACAGAACCTAGTCAAAGAGCAAGGCACAATTTTATAGAACTTTTTAGTAGTGTAATAAAATAAACATAGCAGAGCGTGGTTTCGATCCACGGACCTCTGGGTTATGGGCCCAGCACGCTTCCACTGCGCCACTCTGCTTATACAGAACCTAGTCAAAGAGCAAGACACAATTTAATAAAACTTTTTGGTAGTGTAATAAAATAAAAATAGCAGAGCGTGGTTTCGATCCACGGACCTCTGGGTTATGGGCCCAGCACGCTTCCACTGCGCCACTCTGCTTATACAGAACCTAGTTAAAGAGCAAGACACAATTTTATAGAACTTTTCATAAGAGTAATAAAATTAACATAGCAGAGCGTGGTTTCGATCCACGGACCTCTGGGTTATGGGCGCACCACGCTTCCACTCTGCTTAGACTAAAAACCTGTTAAATACAATAAAAACAAAAATAAACAATGTTTAAACACTTAAATCTTTCGGACGTTCATCGTAAGCCTCCAGTAATGTATGAGTTAAAATAATTATATATGTCTGAATGTTTGTTTAGCGATTTGCGAGACCAATTACGTAAAATTCTTATTAAGCCATCAAATTCGATTCGTGCTCAGTTTTTGCGACCTTTTTTGAGGATCCTTTAGTTTGATATTTTTAATTGCTCGCTGGTTTCGACTTTTAGCTGTTATTTTTTGTTTGGAATGTTTTTATTCCGATGTTTTAACCGCCTACATTTGTACAACTATTCAAATATCGTTGCCATATCAAGTCTTACTAGTGTTAGCATAGTGGTTTAGTGGTAAGCTGTGAGGTCGTGTATTCTTACATCAGCTACAAAACTAACACGGAAAAAGCCTTCGTGACGGGTGAGGTTTTTTTAACTATCTGCAATCAGCCTCTTGGCGTTTATCAGATTTTATGATATGATTTTGAGACAATTAGGGAATGAAAATCCAATATTTTGTTTTCAAACTATCAAACTGCGGCAAGTCTTGCCCTTCACAGCCGAAACACGCAGTCCGCCGTATCCAAGAGGCCCGAAGCTAGGTTGTCATGTTGCTGAAGTCTCCTTTTGTATTGTTCGGTTGATCTTTTAATGTCTTCTTCGACAGTGGTAATTCCCAAATATTTATGGGTTCAGCATTTCGTGTTTAAACCACGGCGCACCGCTTATATTTAGCAGTGTTTTGTTTTGTAGCCGCTCCAGGATTTCGATATTAGAGTGGCTTGCTGACACCCAGAGCTGTATCCCATAGCACCATATTGGTTTTATGACGGATTTATAAATGAGAAGTTTATTCTCCAGAATGAGTGCGGCTTTTCTACCTAACAGCCAGTTCATGTTACGAAGCTTATTATATTCGTGTGTTAGGTTTGGAAAATATTATGTACCTATTATATTTAGTACATTAAAGTAAAAGTACAATAAATATATAGGCGTACAATTAAAAAAGCGTTAAGCACCTATCTAGTATAACCCGCATTGTTAGCGAATAAGTATTTTTAAACATAAAATTACAAGAAAAAATAAATAAATGTAGTTATAATATATGTATATTTATTATTTTCTACAACTTAAACATAAAACGTAGGTAGATAAGAGGCCAAACAAAGAAAATTCTATCTGTATAATCTTCCCGTTATAATATCAAAAACATATAGCCAGTATTTATAAGTAAAACTTCGTAAAGCTAGCAATATCTGTAAAGTTCGTAACGCAACTCCGTCATAAAAAACAACCAAACTTTATGGCACTCAAAGATCAAACGAATGTTCTCTGGTTTTGAAATCGTTCTAATAAGGTTTTTTCGAAATACGATACCGGATAAACGAATGCGCTAATTATAAGTATTAGTAAGACAAAGAGGCTGCGAGGTTTATCTTTCTTATTAGTGTTCGCTTTGAATACTGTGAGAAAGTTTTGGGTTTATAAGTGATTTTATTAATTCAAATCTGTCGTCTTTATTACTTAATATTTAGAAAAGATGCCGTTTTTATAATTAATTCGATTAATTATAACAGCCCCGGTATTGCGTGCTTTAACTAATGGTCTGGGGCATATAATATTAATTAAATAATAAGTCAATTTTAGGACATATTTTTGTCATATAATAAAAATAGTTATGAAAAATACTAGTATTTCTATCTCATTACGTCATAACATATCAGTAGTGTTAGCATTGTGTCTATATGCCGGATTCTCAACCCTTATTAAGTGGTTGTACCCTGGATATGTCTCTGTACAATTAATACTTCTTCATACTCATATAAACCGTGATGAAACTAATGCCAATGGTATGGTACTTACTTGATAAAACTACAAGTTCTAAGGTAGAGATTCAGAAAGGAGACTTAGCGCAAACTCTGATTCCGGATGACAAAATCCTATACATTTTTGACATACCGGAGTCAGTAATAATTCTCTTCCAATCTTACCATGAAGTCACGAACAAGAGGTTAAGTGCCTTTGTTGCAATATTAAGTATATAGATATATAAAATCATACTGTTCAAATCATTTTACACTAGACAATAATTGTATCTAATTACATAGTAAGAAAAAACTTAATCGAATAACGAATTCAGTTTTTATAGATTACCGCGCGGTCACCAGCGCTATAAATCTACGGATTAAACTAACCTAGCGAGATTGCAATCGTCTACCTACCGATAATTGTGCCGATATCGATGTCCTAGAACCGAAGAATCCACCAGAAGATTTAAAACTAAATTGAATCGGTTTAGGGAGTAACGAGTTTTCCTATTTACTATAATCGTATATATTTCTATTGTGAAATAAATTTATACCATTTTCTTTTTGTGGAACACATAAAGGATAGTTGATATTACAACTTTACTAATATTTACGGAAAAAGTGTGATATCTATTGAAATCAGAACGGGATATAGAATAGGCTTAGTTTAATATAATATAAATGGATGAATGGATGAACGCGCCATTTCTGTCTGCACTGTGCCACTCTCTGCCATGTACCTGCTGTTTCCTTAATCTGGTCTATCCACCTTCTTAATCGTCTTCCTCTTTTGCGTTTATTGTACTTTGGGCACCAGTTCAATATTTCTCCACTGTTCTGTTTCTCTTTCCATGTGCCCCGCCCATTTTCACTTAAGTTTATTTATTCTCATTGTGACATCTGCTACATTAGTAAATAGTGTATGCCAC